TACATATCTGCCTCACTCTTTTATTTTCCTTTCCTACTGATCTTTACCTAGTTTTCTCATTTCCCTGATGTGGCCCAGGCGTTGTGGGAGAGTAGGAAGCTTGCTGGATTACGACACAATTATTTAGGTCACCGCAACTCGAAAAGCATGTCTGCAGTGATTTTTCAGTCTTACTTTAGCACAACTTGAAATTTGCCTACTGATTTCTTTTATTGGGCTGTCAATCGACTAATGATAGCATATAATGTGCTACTCACAAAACACAAATGGAACAATTAAATAATTCTTAACATGCGTGCCATTTTGGGGTCTACTTTAAAAACGTCGGAATTCGGCATAAAGTGGCCTATTTGGTTTAAGTAGTATCATGCTACTGTGGCATGCTTAAACCAACAAAACTACTGCGAGAGTTCATAAATCAACTTCAGTTCCCTCACCTGATATATTGAGTGGTAGCTGGAGCTCCATTTGTTGTGCTGGAGTTTGTATTTGGCTCCTATACAAGCCCGAGTCCTCGAACTTTGCGGATACTATTGTTAGCTTTCCGACGCCTCGATCAAACTCAACCACGTAGTGTTCTCCTGTTGAAATAACTTGCTCTCCCTGAAAAACAAAAGCAAGAGAAGTCGCGGCAATGTTGCTTTAGCTGTGGCGGTGGTGGTGCTGGTGTTTCAGGTTTTAGACATCCTGTACACTTTTACACCACCAATCACTTTCGAACATTATTTTGTTAGCAAGGGTATGGTTTATGCCCGGGGTAACTTACTCCAGGGAGCGCCTGTGTTGAGCGAGCTAGCTGAACACCTAAGACTTTGCGGTATCATAAATTTTGATCCTCCATATTGTCATTAGTTAAAAGGGGACACTATTCTTACCATTTTGGAATAATAGTAAATTAGTTTAATGTCTCTTTGCAGGCATTGTGCAAAAGGTATCGCATTGTCATATTTTTACTCCAATGAATACCTTAAGGCATCATGATCATCCTCACGCAACAGTCACCTTGGCGTTTTTATATTTCTTTCTCTGGCACGTACAAATACATATTGCTACTTATTTTCTTTTAGCAAAATTGCCCTCGGAGAAAGTGACCCCGGCCATAAACCATACCCTTGCCGATTTGTACAATCAAAATATGTCATCAAATTTTTCGGTAAAAATTATCGCACAGTAGGTTCAGTTCTTTTACATAAAGTGTTTCATAGTCTAAAAAAGGATTTTTTTCCCCACGAGGAATTTTGACGTCTGCTTTTTGTCACTTGCAGACAGGATAAGATTGGTAAAGTATTGGGTCGCTGAGGACACATTTCAGTAGTCCTGCTGCAGATGGCTTAACTAGGCAAACTTTCGTCATACACCTCCACCTGAAAGCTCATTTGGGGTCGCTGTGAGTCCGTTTCCCACCATTACGAGTAACAATTAAAATCAAACATAAAGTGTTACTTAAATTCCCATCAGTAACCAATGTTTGTTGCATGTAATTACATGCCTAATTTTCATTGACACTTGTCTTACACATCTTTTTCTATGACGTTATTGTAACCAAGAGGGAGTTCAAAGGCGGCCGCCTACACTTCCCTTAATAAGTCCGATCTGATCTGATTATAATTTCCCTCTGTAATATAAAATTCACCAAAGGTATGCCGATTTTATAGATCCCTTCCCCTTTTCAAGCCTGTATACATTCGTAGGCTTCTAAATAATTTGGTATTTAAACGCTTTGTTTTTCAATATGTGGTATGATTATATCGTTCCTACCTTAAACCAAGTCACTGACGTTTCCGGAATATGGGTAACTTCGAACATTAGTTGCACATTCCGGTCCTCAAGCAACTCCGTCGTCGGATGCAGGTCTTGTATTAAGGCAAGCTTGGGCATGGCAGCATCAGTCACATCAGCTGACGGAATCTCTCCGCTCTCAGCTGGAGTGTGTTCAAAGACAGCTGAGACCTCAGCAGAGGTTGCCGCCGCCACGGGGGCCTCAGCAGTCTGCAGTTGAACTTTGACCTCTGTCCGCTCTGGCTGGGTTTCTCTAGGTCCTTGGACCTGGGCTGTCTGCACAACAGGCCGCCCTTCTGCCACTGCAGGTGAGGTCACTGAAGTCGTCTCCACCTGTCTGCTGCCTTCAACGACCTCCAGGGGTACTGACTCTTCAGTCGGCTGTACAAGAATCTCGGGTTCCGTGGCCGTCTGAATGACCTCCTCCTCCAGGGGTGAAGTGATTTCTATTGATGACCCGGCTACTGACTGGGCGTCGTCGACCAGAACTTCAGTTTGCGACACTGCCATGCCGTAGGGGTTCTGCGCCTCCACTTCGTAGACACCGGCGTCCTCAGGAAAAGCCTCGGAGATTGTAAGCTCGCAGAGTCCAGAGTCTGGTAGATAGTAAATCAGGGAGTCTGAGGTATCCTGATGAAGGACAACTCCATTATGTTTCCAGATGACTTCCAAAGGCTGTGGGACGCCCTTTACAACCGCAGAGAGATATATTTCTTCGCCTTCCGTGACTCGAACCGGGGCAAGCTCCACCTCGAAAACGGGTGATGATGGACCACTTTCCTTCTCTACTAGAATTTCCTCCGTTTTCACTGTTTCTTCAATTTCAGTCTCCACGGTTTCGTCTGGAATGAAGCAAGAGTTATGCACGCCTTAGTCTCAGTT